AAAAGTTGACAAAGTGGAAATTATCATCATGTTAAAAATACATCATATTATACTTGGGGGTTATTTTCATGGAGGGATGCAAGGATGATGACAGAAAGGACAAAAAAAGAACCTATAACTACAAGTGAGAGGGAAAGGACGGCAGGAGGCTTTTCCATTAGAGGCTGCTGTCAAAGAGCAGAAAGCTGAAATTCTAGTTGAGCCAAAAACCCATCCCACTGTGTAAAGCGGCTGAGCAACGGTATTGCTGAACACTTACTTAGTAACTGACCTGTAAACGAAACCTCATTTACTGTTTACTTCAAATAACCAAAAATCAGATGACTAAAAGGAAATCTCGAAAGATCACCTAACCCAAGTTTCTTATCCAGGGGAAACAGGAACTGAGTTATCCCATGCAGACATTTGGAGCAGGCCAGGCACGCCTTCCCCCATTCTTAAAGACCTAACACCAGGTGGGGCTCAATCTCACCAGGGCTCTGAGTGAGCCCAAGCACAGGCAGGGTGCTCAGGCAGCACCCGGGGATGCAGGGCGACTCTCAGGTTTGCAACAGGTCTGGGGGAAGCTGGCAGTGAGCCCTAGAGGACTGTCAAACCCTCTGCCCTGGGAAGCACAGTTCACGATGAGAATATAAGCTGGAAAAAATAATAATTTAGATTTCAGCAGAGTCCTGTTACCGACAATCAGAGAATGTCAGGTTGAGTTTACTGAATTTCTTAATTCCCATCTGTTTAGCACTGCACATTGCTGAGAATACGAGGGTATCACACTAGCCACATGTGTGGCAAGGGAGTGGGTCTGTTTCATTCAGTGTGGGTGAGACGGAAAGGATGAGAGAAGGCAACATGCAGCCTTACTACTTGACCAGATCAGGAGTGGCTACAAACACCAATGTGTCACCATCTCATTCACAAGACAGGTCTTATAATCCAAAAAGGCCAGGAATGAAAAGTCAGGCCTTCAGCTGTCCTGGCTTTCTTCACAAGAGCCTGCCCTGCTTTCTCCAGGGTGTTCTTTTATCTGCTTTTTCCTTTTTCAATCAGCCCAAGCTTGCTCTGCAGAGCAAGTTTCTCCCTTTTTTTTGGGGGGGGAGGGTACCCGGGATCGAACGCAGGCCCTTGCACTTGCGAGGCAGGTGGCAGAACCACTGAACTAAATCCCCGGCCCTCCCTCACTCTTTACTTTTGCTTTTTCAAATAAACCTTGCCACAAATTTTTTTTTTTTTTTTTTTTTTTTTTTTTTTTTTTTTTTAGATAGACCAGGCTGGCCCCAAACTCATGGTGATCCTTCTGCCTCAGCCTCCAGAGTGCTTGGATTACAAGCATACACCACCATGCCCAGCCTGCCACTACTTTTTGCACATTTAGTTCAGTTCTTTGTTCAAGATGAGAAGAACCTGGAATCCAGAAGGAGAGGCAAGCAAGGCAGAACCCAGTACCCTTAATTAGCCACTTTTAGAAGGGCTGCCTGATAACATTTTGGCACAGCCAGTACATTCCACTAACAAGACCCAGTCTCAAAAAGAAAAAGGAAAACATTTATATACAACTGAGTACTACTGCCATAAAAAAGGATAAACTAGAGTCATTTGTAGTAAAATGGATGCACCTTGACACCACAGTGTTAAGTAAATCAGAAACGTAAGCTTAAACGATTTCTCATATGTGAAAGTACATATATAAAGTACAAAATAAAAGACAGATACCAGGAAAAAAGAGAAAAAAATGATTGCAATCCAGCATGAGCAATATATCTAAAGATATACTTTTTAAAAAATAAAATTTTTAAAACTAAAAAATAATTTCTCTTTTGGTATGGGGGATCGAACTTGGAACCTTGCGCTTGTGAGGCAGGCGGTGGAACCACTGAGCAAAATCCCTGGTTTCCAGGGTATGACAACTATGTAGTTGAGACTGACCTGGAACTCACTATGTAGCCCAGGCTTGTCTCGAATTCACAGCGATCCTCCTGCCTCAGCCTCCCGAGTGCTGGGATTACAGACATGCGCCATTGAGCCCTGCTCTAAAAAATAGAAGCTATACCTTGATTTAGTATAAGTATCTTATTTTTTCTATTAGTTTGGTTATTAATCTATATGTATGATAATTAACTTTATAAAAACATAAGATAAATCAATCTGATGCTGGCAAAAAAAAAGATGGAGAAGGGAAAAAAGAATTGAGATGTATTATGTACATGTACTAATCCCCCACCCTGAATGTAATCATTATGTACTACAAACGTGAACTAATAAAAATTGGGGAAAAAAACAAAAAGAAAATCAGGCCTTCCTCCCCTAGTACCCTAGTAAAGAAAGCAAAACAGGGCTGGGGATTTAGCTTAGTGGCAATGCCCCTGCCTTGTGTTCAATCCCTGGTATAAGGGACAGTGAAGCAAAACAGTAATGCAATACTACAGACGCCTGAACACACTGATGTGGCAATGTCCCCTGTGCTGAACTGACTACCCACAGTCCTCCAGAGAAACTCCGCTATAAAGCTTTCTTTGTGGTATTGGAGGACTGAGCAGTCTTCACACATGCTAAGAAGAAACAGTACTTTAAAGTGATCATCTAGCTATCTTAGCCCTTTCAGTGCAGCAATCAGGCAGCTTCCAGTACGGAATTCTGTAGAAAATATGCTGTTAGAGATAACAACTTAGCAGGACGGCCCAACACTGGAGTGTCCATTCCTTGTGACGTAGCTTCAAGTGGCACAAAAACCATGCCTAAGTCCCCACCCACCACACTCTTCCCTCTCTGAATAACTAGGGGCCTCTCAGATTCCCAGCCAGGCAATTCTGCACCAAATTATACATGATTTTGTGCTACTTGCTGAAATTATATACAGTCTTATGCTACTTGCTAATTGTTTCATGTGTACAAATGCCTTTTTTCTTCAAATAAAATATGTGAATTACTTGAGAACAGGGATTAGCTTGATCTTTCAATTGTCTACTCCCCAATCCTCAGGCTCAGCTGAGCCGGGCATCCAGCAGACAACTCACACTCGCGGCCAGAGAAGCTGCTCCCCCACAGAAAGGCCCAAGCAGCGCATGCTTTGAACCGCAGCCCCACAGGCTTGGCTGTGGACACGGCTACCACCCCACCGCCTCGTTGGCACCCTGAGTTTGCCATGCACGGCTGCTAGACCACAGCAGCCACGGCTTCACCTCCGGCTCGTCCTGTGTCCCAGGCCTGCCCCACGAGCCAGCCCTCAGCACGCCCCTCTGCCTGACACCCTCGCGCCACCACTCCCAAGACCATCTAACTTGGCTGGTGTGCTCATTTAATCAGGCTGCTGCAAATGACTGGCCAAAAGCAATAAGGGCATGACTGAGAGACTGTGGGAGTTTAATATAAAAAAATTAATAAAAAAGGGGGGGAGGAGAAAGGGTCTACCTTTTAATAGGGCCCTAATTACCCAACTCACAGGATCAGCCCAAATGAGATGGGAGTTTATTTCAGGGTTTTTTTTTTAATTATTGGGGTTTTTTTATATATATATAAATTGCTGCTATGTGTTTTCTTTCCTCTGAGCAATTATGCAGCAAGTATGTAAAGAGGAGAAAAAAATATTAATTAAATATAAGGTAATTGTAGAGTCGGCCTGGAGAGAATGAGTTTGAACTCTGGACCATCTCAGGCTACCAGGGTTTGAAGACTGCTCAGGGCCTCCCAGAAAAGAAAGAAATAAAAATACAACAACCACCAAGTGGGAGCACAGAACAGCAGGAAAAGAGCCATGTGCAGAGACTTGAGCAGAGCAAATGGCCTGCAGGGCTCTGGGAGCCCAGGGTCAACATACTTGTCAAGCGCTTGGGCTCCCAAGCACCGACCCAACCGCACCCCAAAAGGTGGACTGGCTCTTCCATTGATCGACAGTTAACCAGTAGATCACCTCAAAAGGAGACTGAGGAGGCACAGGACTGAAGAGGACCACTGTGTTCAGTCTGGACTTTAGTCTACAGTGCTACTTCAGCCCAAGGGGGCTCCAAGGTCAACCCCAAAGGACCACTCAAGCCCCCAGCCGACAGAGGGGCAAAGAGTCACTTCCTCTCACCCTCATTCCAAGGAACCAGGCAATACAAAAAGAGCAAAATAAGGGCACAGTGGGAGTGCTGGGGACGTGAGGCCAGGACAGTGACAGCAGGTGACAAGATGGCAACACTTGTACCTTTCTGAAACTGGCCCAGCAGCACTTATATTGTCTTGCCCTCAGCCCAGGAACAGCTCAACCAGCTAAGGGCCTCACGCCATCTCTTCCCACTGCTGCCAGAGGAGTGATGACAACAGACGCCACCACTGATCTAAAGGAGGCTGGAGAGTCCTCTGCGCTGGCTGGAGAGAGGAAAGGCTCTGGAAGTTAAGCCTAACACTGGCTCCCCCCTCAAACTTATCTGTAGGACCAATCAGCAGGATTTACAGAAGGCCCAGAAATGCCAAATGGAACAAAAATGGGGCAGGAGATAAGGGACTCTGGCTGGGAACAAAGCAAAAGCACTTTGTGAAGACAATCACTGTCAGTACTCCTAGGCCTCTTCCTCACTGGTAGTCTCAGATGCGGATGGTAATGCACAACACACCCCTAATTATTGACCAGACAACCAGGATCGCCTCCTTATGCTCCTTAAAGGTCCCCTTTGCTGCTCCCACCCTGGGGAGCAGAGTAACAACCATTCTGGCCCAGCAGCCTCGCTCCTCTCTGCCCGCGAGGCTCTGGCATGAATGACACTAATTAATTACTACATCAGCAGTGAAGCAGCCCAGGACCATCCAGGTGGACACTTTAGCTCCTGAGACAATCATCCTCTACTCAGGAGAGATCTCGCTGATCTCCACTGGCAGCAGTACAGCAGAAGACAGAGGTCAGAGGTCACTCACATGACACCTACTCTGAAGGAATCCTGCTGATGTCAAACTGCAGATTCTGAAGTGTTCTTTAAACTCACATGGTATCTTATTATTACAAAATGTTACTTCATAACTTGGGTACTTACCAGAGGCTCTCGAGGCACCACATCTTCACTTCCTGGAGTAGAGCTCGGCTACAAAGAAACACAGAAACAAAAGTAAGATCACAGTGCCACCCAATGGACATCCAAAATCCAAAGAGCTTGTATTCTCAAGCAACACACAAAATGCCTCTTTGTCATCATTCTCACTGCTTTTTCAAAACTTCAGAGTGCTCCGTGGTGGCTAGCCTGTAAGAAGTAACCCCAAAAGTTTACTTCTGGATTCCTCCTCATGAGCCCTCAAGAACAAGGCTTAGGTTTAACGGGAGGACCCAAGATCAGCTGCTGGGCAGAGGTGATGGGAACAGTCATAAAACCCACAGAAATAGAGTCCAAAGAGGAGGCTTAGGAGAGAGCCCTGCCTACCTCTATTATCACCAGCTCAGTTCCAGCTGACCAGAAAAGCAGCCAAGCAAAGTGGAGAACCAGATGCATCCACAAGGGGGCGCTACTTGCCCACGATCAAAATTTTCTCTGGGGACAGCATTTGGAGCCAGAAGGGGAGCAAATTCTACTGATTCTTCTGTATCGCCCATTGTGAAAAGACACCACTCTTCAATAGTAAAGCCAGCCCAGGCTTAAATCCTTTGTGGAAATAAGCCAATGACAGAAAAACAGAACAACGTCCAGGCCTAGCTCACCCGTTCACTTGTGGGGCCACCACCACACAAGCACCTTTCAATACTTGCTGTACTGGTCAAAATTTGGAGAAGGGAGCCATGGTAGTGCACACCTGTAATCCTGGCACTCTAGGAGGGTGGGGCAGGAGGACCACAAGTTCGAGCACACCCTGAGTAACTCATCAACTTAGAACTTGTTTCAAAGTTTAAAAATTTAAAAGGGGTTAGGGTGTAGCTCAATGCAAAGTCCCAATGTTCACTCCCAGAACCACAGTAAAATAAAAAAATTAGAGAATGGGAGGGATAGAGATAGAAATGGACAGGCTCTGAAGAAATTTACAAATCTCCACAAGAATAAAACGAGAGGTTTGAGTGGGCTATGATTAGTTTACTGTTCCCGCTGCTCAAGTCAATTGCCAATTACATGCAGATAACATCCAGACAAACAAAGCCAACTCCCAGGAGCCAGCCCCAGCCTCCAGTCTGCTCCCGTGGTTCACAGGCCTGTGCCAGGCCGCCTGGAGAAAGGGCAGCTGGCACACGGCACAGTGGCAAGGGCTCTGCGAGACAAAGGACCCTCTCCCTCCGTCAAAAGTCCAGTCCCAAGAGCCCCACCCCCACCCTGCCCCAGGCCACCATGAAAATGACACAGGTGGGTGCCTTGGGGGCTCTAGGAACCAGCAAGGCCCACCGCTAGAGCTCTAGGCCCCTCCAAGCCCTCACCCCACTCCTTCCCACCTCCCCGGGGTCCCAGCCACAGCCAAGTCTCAATCCCAGTGCTGCCTATCTGAGCAAACACAGCTTCACCACACCACAGACTAGAGGGCTGAGAGTCGGAGTGCAACTGTCCATATCCCTTCCTAAGCACCCTCAGACCAACCCCTCCTCTACTCTCCAACCCTTTGGCCACTACCTGGAACTCACTATGTAGCCCAGGATGGTCTCGAATTCACAGGGATCCTCCAGCCTCCAGCCTCCTGAGTGCTGGGATTACAGGCGTGTACCACCATGCCTGGCTTTCTTTGTATTTCTTTATCTGAGAAGTGTCTATTCATTTCAGATGCCCATTTTTGTTTGTTTTTTTGTTTGTTTGTTTTGTTTTTTTGAGACAGGGTCTCCCTATGTAGTTGAGTCTGACCTGGAACTCACTATGTAGCCCAGGCTGGTCTCCAACTCACAGGGATCCTCCTGCCTCAGCCTCCTGAGTGCTGGGATTACAGGCATGCACCACCACATCCGGCTAGGAGCAGCTTTCTAATCAGCTCACCCCACTCTCACTGGCTGGCTCTCTTCCCATATACGGCCCACGGTGCAGACTCATTTCCTGGAGAGACTCGGCCACCACCTCCCTCATCCATTCATCCACCCTGAAAGCAACAGCATCTTTAGAAGACAGAACAGAAAAAGCTCCTCATTGTGGCCGTGGAGGCCTCACGTCCTCTGTCAAGAGGCCTTTGAATATGCTGTTCCTCCAGAGCCAGCTAAGACCCCGTAGGGAAGCAGTCCTTCTCTGACAGTCACAACTAGGTCAGATTTCCTGACCCCCCCACCCACCTCACCGCACCATATTCCTCTCCTAGAAATGCGGGGGGGGGGGCTGGGAGTGCAGCTTGAGGCTTTGAGTTCAATCCCCAGCACCAAAAAGAAAGAATTGAACAGAATTGCAGTTTTCCATCTGTGTGATCTGAACCATGTCCCCCTCATCGGATCAGGAACTCCACGCAGGCAGAAAGTGTTCATTCATCACTGTATTCCTGGGATCCAGAGCGAGGCCGGACACAGAGCACGCCTTCGACTGCTATTTGTTGAATGAATGCATGAGTGAATGAGCAACAAAGAATAGAACATGTACATAAGGAATTATGTGTAACAGTTCATTATCTTCCTGAGGGCCTCCTTCAACCCACTTGGCAGATACTCTTAAGTGCTAACATTTATTTAGTTCTTTCTTCACTTAATTCTCACAATAAAGGCACACAGAAGTATTACTGATAAGGAAACTGAGGCTAGGGAGGTCACTTAACTTGCCTATGATGACTCACCAAGTAACTGGTATATAGGGATTTAAATACTTAATCAAAATAATCAAATTTTGTTTAGATAGAAATTTCTCAACAACAGCCCTAACGCTACAGCATGACGAATAATGTTGGTTGTCTGACTAGATAAAACAGATGGACACAACAGCTTTCCTATTTAGGGAGCCACTGTCTGATTAACCCTTTCTTCCTGGACTACAACCCATTACTGTGAATCACTATCACCAAGGAACCAGTTCAGACTAGACCAGGGGCTCAGCCAATGGGAGGGAGGGCACTTGCTTAGCACGTGTCCGGGGTTTGGTCCCAGAACTGCCAAAAACAATAATTAGTTCATCTCTTCAATAGTTAGTATTTGCCAGAGGGACAAGGGGACAAGTTTTAAACAATTCACAGTACTAAAAAGCCAAATAAGTCTCGTTTGCCCTTCAGCACCATTTAGAATTGTGAGGTATGTGTTCAGGGTTTTTTGGTTGATTCGTGGGTTGGTTTTGTTGGAGACGGGATCTTGTTATGTAGCCCAGACTGGCCTTGAACTCGCAGTGATTCTCCTGCTTCAGCCTTCCAAGTACTAGAATTATAGGTATATCTGACTGTGTTCTATTTTTTAGAAACAAAATTTAAGCATTAAAACTAAAACAGCTTCCCTCTCATTCTGACTAATAGCCACATGAGACTAGTTCCTTACCAGCTCTCATAGGGCCAAGCAAACATGTCAGAAGCACAGAAGACCTTGAAACAGCAGCACGCTCCAAACTCCTCCACCCCAGGCTTCCCTGAGTTTCCTGGGTTTGGGCACAACACCAGCCCTCCACATGCAGTGTCAAAGACATGACCCAAACTGCACGTCAACCTGCAGGTCGCCCAGTTAGCTGGTACCAGGAACCCTGAGGGGTTCACGTGAATGTGAGAAGTGCCCTGCACTGATTACATTCTAGAGCCATGATGGTGAACCTTTTAGAGCTTTCAGTGATACAAACAGCTTGGTGCAGCATGCGTGCCATAGGTTCCCCACCACTGCTCTCAAGAGTCTCCAACCCATGATGGTATTTCTACAGTCCAAAAGGGACCACCACTCATTTCCTGTCTCAGTGCCCTTTAGAAAACTACTTCTTGAGGACCAAATCCAAAATAGCCTTGATTCTAACTTGTCTGTTTTCACTCCCATGGGCACATCAGCTATTCTGCACTGAGTAACTACTCTGCCACCTGTCTCTCCCTTTAGCCTCTAACTTTACAGAGATGTACTTTACCATCCTATAAAGTTTGAACCTCCAGCACCCACATCACTGGCACTCAATCTATTTGGGGGTAATTAAAATTTTTATTTAAACAATTAAAACAAAGAAGTACTTGGTGCGTATATATAAGCCCAAAGGACACAAGCAGAGCCACGGCAGTGTCTCCCCAAACCTAAAAGAACCATGGTCTGCCCTTAACGTGGTGGCCTGGTGGTGCCTGACCACAGGGCAGTGCCACTCCCAGGGGACATCTGGAAACACATGGAGGTGTTTCTGGATGTCACTGTGACTCAGTTCCACTGGCATTTAGAGAACAAGGAGTCCAAATGTGCTGCAAGGCACCCAGTAAAGAACTGTCCCATCCAGAGCATCCATTGGACTTGTTGAAGAATCCTGACCACTCTGCTTCTTGTGCAAAAGGACAGACTCCCATCTTGCTGGGGAGGTACGGGTTGAGACAGGGTCTCCCTATGCAGCTCAGGTTGGCCTTGAACTTACAGTGGTCCTGCCTCAGCCTCCCAAGTGCTGCGATCACAGGTGTGCCCAACCACTCCTGGCTGGAGCCCCACCTTGACACACAACTGGAGGTACTGCTTAGATCAGTGGTGGCGAACCTAGGGAACACACACCACAGTGGGCTGTTTGTTACCACTGAAAGCTCTAAAAGATTCTCCATCGCTGGCTTAGATGATGCTGCTTATCTAGGGCTCATACAAGCTCAGCTGCCCAGCATTCTGACCAGTGCAGGCTTTGCAAATGCCCAGCACTTGCTCAAACACCTGCCCCCACATACATCCATCCCTTTTAAGTGGTCAAGTCCATTATCTGCCTTGAAATAGATCGCTACAAATTAAATTCCAACTTGATCCTGGATATCATCACAGAGTAGTCACTTGGAAGAAAAAAATAGGGTTAAAAGCTACCTGCTGAGGCCTACTGAAAAGGAACAGCAGACAGCTCCCAGCTGATCCAGTTCTGGGACTGTGGGGTTGAAATGGAGACAGCAGTTAGGGAAGAGAGCCAGAGATTAGGACTAGTGTAAAAAACAAGAAGTCAGATGAACAAAACAGTGCAGGGGAGACAGAAGGGAGAGAGAGAGAGATTTCAGGATTGGAGGGGAATAAAAAATAAAA